TTTTTTTTTTTTTTTTTTTTTAAATAATCGTACACCTAACAATTTTTATAGAATATCGCGAAAAGTATTTAAACACTTTCTGCGAATATATTTATATAGTCGAATTCTGGTATCTAAAATTCGAAACAAATTGGAAGATATTCTTGCAAGTGATTTTATCAGTTTAAATTTTCCTTCAAGAAAAACCAGCAGAATACTTCTAATTGTTCGTGACGACCAACGACTTAGTTTAAACATTTTTATTCTATAATAATACGAAATAAATATATAAATATATAAATATCATCTAGAAAATGTAACATAATTTCTAGCTAGATGTAACTTTTCCAACGCGCTCTCGATTGTTCGTGAGACGACGAAATTTAATGGACTGGCGTTAGCGCGCGAGATTTAAACTTCAAAGGGACGGCGATTCACATGCGAACTGGCGAACCTTAATACGAATAAGAATCGTAAGAACTAATAAAGAATTATAGCGCGAGAATTTTCAAAGAGAAAAAGGAACGAAAGAGAGAACGGAAGAGTATATATATTATAGAATGGACAAAGTGATGAAACACCGGCTTTCGCGGTCCCATTATTCGTCCAATTAAGAATTTGCATATTAATCATGGCCCGTCGCTTTGGCGAACGTGACTTGTCGGAATCGTTTCAATTAAACCAACGAGGAACGCACGGTTCCCAGCGTTTCTAGCGTGCGGGCAAAAACCACCGCCGAGAGGTTACCGCCTTCGTTGAACGTCTTTCCGATTCTTTTTTCGCTGCCGCCGGGCGTACGCGTTACCGGTTAAGCAAAGAAGAACGAATTTATAAGTGCCGTATCTACCATCTCTTTTTTACTATCTGATTGCGCAGCGTGAGATTTACGTTTCTCTCTCTGACGAGAGGGACGTTTTTCTCTGAGCGACGAATGTGGCCGACAGATGTGGGCAAGTACCTTTGAATCTTCTCAAGTTTTTGCACACTACTTTCGAGTTCTGATTTTTCAATCAACAAAATTATTCACATCTGATACTGTTAATAGTTAACTGAGAATTACTTGACAAACATATTGGAAATATTCTTTTTATCGTCTGCCAGCAGTTTATTTACGAAATAGCGAGTGAAGCATCACTTCGAACAAAATGATACAATATTCGAAATAATCATCCTGTTCAAATGGTATTTGAGCATGGAATTTTGTTTGGACTTTTTGTTTAAAGCAATCACCAAGTATAGTGTGTAGATTTTTTTCTTCGCTATTTTGTAAATTTCCGTACGAATCAATAAGTTTATGCGAATGATCCCGAATTATTCGACGAGTATATTATTTGCCGACTCACGACTGCCTCTGTACTCGAAAATTTTATTATTCCTCTCGTGTTATATTATAGCATATCGTACAACACTATACCTACGCTCGATACAATTACGAGCAAATAAATTTTATAATTTCAGCTGTCAGGTAAATTCAAGTATGATGGGGTAGTCGAGCGAGCGGGCAAAGCGTTAATTTTTCATTCACGATAAAACTATAATTGATGAAATGACATTTGATCGATGAAACGACATTAATTGGTAATTTAATTTCGTCAAAATTTCCAATTCTCCGCATCTATTACTAGCCGACACATCAAAATTCCGTCTGTCGAGATTCTCCGTTTGCTCCGAAAACTCGCACTTGTCGAACCGGAGAATTTAACACGAAACCCTGGCCTATCGCGCTTGCCAATTCTTAATCCCATTTCACCGACATTAATCACACGAAGTTCGAGCAGTAGCAAAAGGGAATCAGTCTCAAAGCGTTTCTCCACGCGAGCCCTGTCCCGCGAAACGTTTCGGCCCGGCAGATCGGCGCCCTTAATCCCTTCCCTCCCTTCCTGGTGAATATTTAACGGTGGCGTTAAATTTCTGTGGCCGCCGGTTCCGTCAGAAATAATTAACATTAAAACGCGTGCCGGCCGGCCGGCCGGCGCGTCGTCGCCGCGAGATTCTCTCCACGCTAACTCACCCCGGTATGGAGATTGATGAGGGAATGAGGAATTCCGGTTTCCGTCTGGAAAGCAGGCAACATCCGTTCGCCAAGCTGAGCCGCCTTCTCCCGGAACATCACGTCGCCAGTGAGAGCGTAACAGGCCAGCAGGCTTCCCATGAAACGAATGTTCGTCTCGAACAGGGATATCTCCGAGTTCTGAAAGAAGAAGAAAACAGAACATGATCTCACTAACGATGTGTCTATATAGAATGTTGCTGAAAAGAAAAAGATTTATTTGTCCCGAGGCCGATTCGCATTCATTTCGAGAGCAATTTTTCGAGCTTCCCTCGCGCAACTACGATCCGGAAGTTGTAATTTTGAAATTTTCGAGCGTGATTGTTGAAAAATTAATGTTCGAGAGAGCTCGATGAGAATTATAATTTCAACAGTTAGCTTCCTAGTTTCAGATGTCAATTTCCATTCTTGAAAACTGAATGAAAATAGCAGCCTCTTGTTCTCGTTTTTTGGATACGTGTATACTAATCGATTTATTGTTACTTTTCTTCTTGAACCATAGAAAGAATTATCCTTTTCCAACTGGAAAAATTCCACTAATTCAATGGAAGAAAATGGACGATTCCTTCAAGCAGTTAAGGATAAATCTGATAAGAACATACTTCAACTAAAATTTCGAAAATTTCGTTGCAACGCTCGCTCGTACGGATTAATAAATTACACTTTGTGCGGCAAAAGCGCGTTATTTCACGTCTTGTGTAGTAAAATAGTGGCTAAATGCAAAGGGAGATTAACGTTATTTGTGTTTCACGGTTTCAAACGGTCAACAATCCTAATGAAATAGTAGCAACGGCATTAGAAAAAGAAGGGAGGAAAAGCGAAGTTGGTTTGCACACCTGAGCCTTGAGCGGCGTTCAGGGCCGGGGTTTCATTCACGCGATACAGCACGGATTTGTGAAGTCAGATTGCTTCTTTTTTTTTCTGTCCCGTATATATTTTTCCTCCCCTTGTTTGTTTCCGACCAACTCACTCTTGCTTACATTTCACGTTGCATTTACCTTGCGAATAGCGGCGAGTACAACTCGTTTTAATTCCTTTTAATACGGAAACGCGTTTTTAATTAGCTTCCCTAGAAGTGATTTCATTGTTAAACTTTGAAAGAAAAAAAATACGAATTAAAGTGAAATGAAAAAATGAAATTAAGTGCAAAAACGATTGTTTTGGACATTAGGATAAAGAGATCTGTGTATGATACCAATCGCCATAAATATAATATAATATAATATAGTTGTTTAATTAAGTGTTTCATCTCCTTTCATTTCAATGGGTTATATTCAATAAATTCATCTTCTAGATGAATCTAATTTTAGTTTCAGTATCTGGTTAATCTGTCTGATTTAGGTATATGTCTGTAACGTTATTCATTATGCCTCTTAAAAAAATATCTTGATATTTGCTGATATTCGAGAGAACATTGTCTAAATTATTTCATCGTCAGTATTCATTTCACAAAACTCGTCAACTTTCGAGACATTTTATTAACCTACGAGTCGTCCAACCTGATGAAACGAGCTCATCATGTTTGCAATTTACAACCTACATATATTACCTACATATATTACATATATCACCATCGATCGTGTTTTCATCGTGCTGTTGATTTTTCGTTTTAATTACAGCAGAATATCGCGAGACGTTAACAAACGTCTCTGTAAATAATTTCTACGAGAAGGAAGAATACGGCTCCTTTGCTAAATCCTCCATTGAAAACGTGCCAAAGCACCACAGCCACCTGCAAGCAATGGCACACGTTATAGTAAAAAAAATAAGTGCATGAAAATTTTAATCATCGTCTGAAGGAACTGGAAAAAAAGAAGAGAAAGAGAGAGGTGTACAAGACTAACAGAAGGCTTTAGCATTCAGCAGAATTTATTCCAGCGTAATTTGTTGTCAGTTGAAACAGACGTTCGTTCGCTGCGGAAGACCAGCGCCGGTGTCCCGGTTTTTTTCTTTTTTTTTTTTTTTTTTCAGTCGGGGAAAAAAATTATGAAGCTTATCGCTGAGGGTTGATGAGAAACCGTGCGAACTGCGTTACGAGTACGCACGAGAAACTCGTACGAGTAGGATTATGCCACTATGCTTTTGTGGGAACGGGACGGTCGTTAATAGCATACTTAACGCTGAAGTATTAAGTTTAATTACAGCGAATACTCGATAATTTGTCTTCGCCCGGCGCTGCCACTCGCCTCGGCAATTCCCTGCCTTGCAATTACTTTTCCAGACGCTCTTTAGTTAAGAGCCATTTTCATCCCCTTCTCCCCCCCCCTCCCTTTTTCTTTCTCGTCTTTGACCGTCTTTCTCTCCTCCGATGGTGCAAATAATCTTCGTGCGTGCGGGTGACGAGAGTTTCTATACCTCAGCTATACTTATTTCGAAACGATCATTCGTCCGTGTATAGTCGAAAGTGAGCGTACGAAGGCGATGTTTCCTAGTATTTTTCTATTATTATTACAAGGTCTAGTATTTTCCTTTTATTATCGTTAAAGTCTAGTGTTTTCCTTTCCGAAATTTCCTATCACGTCGATGAAGTATAAATTCCTTCTTGGATACACGATGTCCTTGTTTTACAAATGGAACGTACGATGTTCCGTTTTGCGCAAGAGCGAATGTTACCGATAGACAATTATAAAACCATTACGAGACCGTTAAATGTAAAATTGTAAAATCGTGAATGTACGCAAAATGACGAATGGTTTTACAATGGACTAAAGCTTTGTAATACAGGCAATTATTATCAATACAATGTGTAATTATCAATGCAAATTTAAAGAATCAAATGAAAGAATTTTAATACTATGTCATTGAACTGAAAATTAACAAAAAACATTTTGAAAGAAAAATCTTCTGTGGCTGTAAACGCTGCACAAAGGATCAATCGAATTGTCGGAACAATTGAGCACAGGATTCATACGTTTGTAACGAAAGAACGTAGCATGTTTCTATCGTCGAAAAAAAAAAACAGATTAGATATTGCTAATAAGATGTCTCTTCTTATTGAAAATGACGGAAGAAAGATCGTGCGTTAAGTTTCAGGGGATCATTGTCAACGGGGAGACTCCAATCTTCAAATTGACTGTACACTTCATCAAGAGAAAAAAATTTTTTAATGTTTCCATGGCAATTTATAGCATTTCGAAAAGGAAGAGTAGAAGCTCCAATCTTTGGAATGAATTCAGGTTTATCGTTGTATCTTTGTATCTTCTTCTTCTTCTCCTTTTTTTTCTTAGAAAATTATTTAATTTACTTTCAACATTTAGTGTTCGTATATTATGAAGTTTTAGGATATAGAGGTAACCTGCTTGAACATTCACGGAGGAAACTAACGGACGAAACTAAAGGCACGAAGGAATTACGAACGAGTTAGTAAGGCTCACTTCTTCCACCGACTCATTTGCTCATTATGCGAAACACGTCTGCAATGCGGGTTGCTGGGAACAGAGGCTACGAGGAGCATCTCAATTCAGGGGCGGGCTACATCGAATTTGCTGTCCTTTACAGCCAACTTCTAATTGATACAAATTAACACTTCCCGTGTCGGGGCTTGCAACGACGTTACGCCATCCGAATTACAGAGGCATTGAACGCCCACTACGATCTTTGAAAGTTAATCTCTACTTTTGTCTCGCCGGAGACTTTCTACTATTTAATTTCTCAAGAGATACTGGCTCACATGCTACACCCGTTGCTCTGGACGTGACTCAACTCGCCAACATCTTGAAAATTGTCGAGAAACTATTCACGTACGCGATGACGCGACTTTGCTAAACGAATCGTACCTTTTTTACAATGTACAATGGCACCATTCCTTTGAATGGTTGATCTAAGTTTATCTGAAATGAGGATTTCGCCAATTCAGACTGTGGATATCTTTGCACTTTTGGAAAATTTCAAGCGCGTAATATATAGAAAGGTGTACAAAATATAACTAAAGCAAGGGACTGGTAATTTCATATCTATTTAAATAATTTAATTGCTAGCACTACGTTTCTTCGAAATTATCCGCAGATTCTCAAACTGTACCGTCTGAATGAAAATTTTTATTTACTGGCCGAAACTTTTTCCATCCAGTGATGGAAGGCGTTTTACCAAACGACGAGGATCGATCTGACAGTGGTGAGAGGAGAATTTAGTTGGGAAGAAGGAACGTAAAGGAAAAGCAGGTGCAGACAGTTGGCCGGTGGGAATAACTTCTCATAACTCGCTTCAAACTAATAACGATTTTAGCTCATTAAACACTAGAGCTAGAAACTTAATTGCCGAATTTCTGCGCGGCTCTCGCGAAACACATCTGGCCTCGCGATCCATAAAGCCGGATACGCAAGTTTCCCCGTGTCGGGAAACTTTAAATCTCACGTGTTTATCGTATCCTCATGGTGTGTGTATTCGGCGAGCCTCGTGTCGGAATTGCGTTTCTACGGCAAAATGATGTATCGAGCAAACACGGGTTATAAACTTGCCAACTCGATCGTGGTAACGTGGTACGCTACGACTTTCCACTTCGCTACGACTTCCATTGAACTCCACTGGCGCGCTTATGCTCGTACTATACGATGACGTGTCCTTTCTTCGAATCTTTGGAAATTCATTGCGTGGCAATCGCGATTAATTGACTGTTGGCTTCAATTACAGACTGCAAGATCATGGTTCATAATCAACGAGGAAATGAAAGAAATAGATCTTCAAGTTCTCTCAAGTTTCCTAAACATCGTTGAAGTAGTGGATTTGGATTATTGAAACAATCGGAGCTCGTATTCGCAGATACTTGGCTTGGCTTCTTGTCAAAATTAAATTAAACTGATTTGTGCCTTTTTTTCAGATGTCAGGCATCATTTATCCATTCATCTATATTAAATTGCTCAACAAAATTTGAATTGTCAGATTTAGGAACAACTATTGTAAATCTGTACAATATACGCTCCATTAAGATTACGAATTCGAAATTCCATTTGAAACGAATCGCACTAGATACAGTTATGTTCGTTGGAACGAAATGGTGTCTGACTAGTTACGCCTTTGCCGACTGAATCTACTCATTCGAACTGCCGCTGTAAAAATTCCCGTAATATCCAAGAATTACAAATAAATTTATAAAATTACATCAAACATAGTTGCGAACCGAATGAATGTTGTGGAGAAATTGT